CAAAATGATATCCCTCTGAAGATTTTTAAGCCACGGCCTTAGCTTTCAAAAGATGGAATCCCTAACTATCATTCATCATTAGCACAAAGGGAGACAGCCATTATGTCCCATTTACCATCATATCCTCCTGAAATAATGCTCCTTCGACGAGCCACACACCATTAACATGGCTGGGACTATCCATCCTCACTGATGAATACCACAAAACGATTCGTCTTTTGTGATTGTGTGCCTCATTTTGGACATGAAAGGAGGAAATCGGACTCACTGTCGACTCTATAAAATACCCGCTGATTAATGTAACTTGACACGATTTTTCACTGCAACTCGGACGTGACATGACAGGAGGTTATCCCACTCATCATCTAGACTAAAAAATAAGATCATTTCTTTGACAGGACGGCGTATGACAAGCCATCACCATAGACGTAGAAACCACAGACAAGGAGGCTGTCACACTCCCCATCACCACTATAGATTACGCTGAAATTAAACTCTCTCACAGGACGGTGTACGCCAAGCCACCACCACAGACGTAGACAGCACAGACAAGCTATCCCACTCACCATCACCACCACAATATACCTCCAAAATATTTCCCCTGAAATTAAACTCTCTCGCAGGACGGTGTACGCCAAGCCACCACCACGGACCTGGACATGACGGGAGGGCAGTACGTGCAGTTCACAATCATGATGGGTTGTGAGGCGCCGAGAGGAGCCAGGACCAAGAGAGGAGCTACCATGATCGAGGACCCTCTTATCTCTCCTTCTGGGTCTTCTCCTTCTTCCTCTTCTTCCTCTTCGTCGTCTTCTTCGTCTTCTTCTTCGTCGAGTGAGCAATCTAGTCGGCGCTATGGCGTACTCGTCCAGTACTCTGTCAACGGTGGCATTACTTGGAAACTGCTCAAGGTGGGCGCACTGAGATAAACTGTATATAATGATCACTCTCTTCCTTCCCTGTATATTTTGATTACTCCCCCCCCCCACAGATTCCTTGCTCATTGTTGTCGTGGGGGGGGGGTAGGAGACGGAGACTGGGTCCTCAAGTAGGGGATCACCACCACGACCTTCGTACTCGGTTTGCTCCTTCCTTCTTGACCTTTTTCACTACCGCGCTAAGCCTACAGCGCTCTACAACCTCTGACATCCAACATAGTTTGTCCTAAGCGTTGACCCTTTTGACATAATACTTTATCATCGTGCTGTATGACCTTTCCTTACCTGGAAAGGTCATACACAAGCCTCACCCTATCGCTAGATCTTGAATACACCGTTGAACACCTTAAATGCTGAAGCGACAGCAAATTTTCTATAAATGAATACTCTCTTCCTTCACCTCTTCCTCTTTCCATTCTCCCTTTTGCCTCCTATGCAAGGAAGTGCTGAATCCTCTTTCGTTAGGATACCAACCCTTTTAGGATATTCTCTGGAACACCTTGTCCTCGTCCTCCTCAAATACATAAAGAAATACCTATATTAAGTCTTCATCCAATTAGACAAAGACATCTTTTCGGACAAAAGATCCAGTAGATTTTTTTAAGTGGTTTTAAGTGGTTCAGACAGTATCAGATTCCTTTCTTGAGAATAAAAACTTCTCTTTCTTCATCTGTTCTGTCATTTATTATCATTTCTGTGTCTTTCCCTCTCTCTTTCCTCATCTTTCTGCTTATTCATGCACCATGCATTCATTGTTAATGTATTCATCTCTTCATTTTTTATTAATAATGAGTTCATTCATTATTTATGTATCTCCTTGTATACCCATTCAGTATTTACCCAAACAATATTGAATCATCTCTTAGGATTTACCCAAATAGAATTAAATCCTCTCTGAGTATTTGCCCAAGCAATATTAAAACCTCTTTCCGTATTGCTCAGCCTTCCCCGCCCATAGGAATCATAATTCACGCCCCCGTTTTAGGATATTACGTATTTTTATCAGCCTTCTAATCTTTCGTATTCTTTCCAAAGCAGCATTAGATTATTTTCCAATTGAACGTAATCCCTCCTCCTCCTTTATTTTATTATCATGTGTTTTTTCTTCTCTATTTTCTTATGCTTTTCTGTTCCTTCTTTTCCCCCTTCATCTAAAGCAGTATCAACTCCTCTTCTCTTCTATTATCATGTGTTTTTTTAATTTCTTCCTTCTCTTCCTCATTTCAAATCCCCTTCCAGTTGGACGTAATTCTCTGACCTTCTCGCTCCTTCTTCCCAAAAGCAGTGTCAAATCCTTTTTCAAAACCCTTTAGGAACAATTACCCATACAATCTGTAAGCCTTTGAAAGTACTCTTTAGACACCAAACACTTAATTGATAATCCCTAAAATCATATATATATTTTTTTTTTTTAATTCATAGATTCCAAAATCTTTTAATAATAATTCATGGAATCCAAAACCCTTTGATGGTAATTCTTAGAATTCGAACCAGTTGGTTATACTCCGTAGACCATAATCCTACACCCCTCCATTCCCACCCCCTTCCTTTCCTTTTTTAGGAACCCCAACCCTCTCCTCTCCCTTCCCTCCTCTACGAAACCCCCCTAACCCCTCCCCCCTCCAGGAACCCCCCCCTAACCTCTCTCGCTCCCTTCCCTCCTCTAGGAACCCCCTAACCCCTCCCCCCTCCTTTTCCCTCCTCCAGGACCCTCCCCCTTCTTTTCTCCTCCAGGAACCCTCCCCTCTCCTTCCCCTCTCCAGGGAAACCCTCCCCCCTCCTTCCCTCCTCCAGGAACCCCTCCCCTCCCTTCCCTCCTCTACGAAACCCCTAACCCCTCCCCCTCCAGGAACCCCCCCTAACCTCTCTCGCTCCCTTCCCTCCTCTAGGAACCCCTAACCCCTCCCCCCTCCCTTCCCTCCTCCAGGGACCCCTCCCCTCCTTTTCTCCTCCAGGAACCCCTCCCCCTCCCCTTCCCTCCTCCAGGAACCCCTCCCCCTCCCCTCCTCAGGAACCCCTCCCCCTCCCTTCCCTCCTCCGGAAACCCCCCCCCTTCCCTTCCTCTCAGGAACCCCTTAACCCTCCCCCCTCCCTTCCGCCTCTAGGAACCTCCCCCTCCCTTCCCTCCTCTAGGAACCCCTCCCCCTCCCTTCCCTCTCTAGGAACCTCTCCCCCTCCTTTCCTCCTCCAGGAACCCCCCTAACCCCTCCCCCTCCCCTGCAGGAGCTGCACTTCCTGCCCCTCGCGGCGCCCGAGTTCGTGAGCATCCGCCTGCGGGACTTCCCCGGGGCGGCCACCAACGCCACCCGCTTCCGCCTGTGGCAGCCGCGGCACGAGGGCCTCCTGGCGCAGACGTGGGCGGTGGACAACGTCTTCATCGGAGGCACGCCCGTGTCGCCCAACGCCCTGCACGACGACTTCGAGAAGGCGGCGCCCGTGCCCGACGCCTGGCTGGACTGGCCCGGCGGAGAGGTCGACGTCATGTGCAAGCAGTGAGTCGCTCGCTGGGGTTGCAGGCGCCGGCGCGGGCTGCTGCTTCTGCTCTCTGGTTGTGCTTTGGTTTTGTTTGTACTTTGTGCTTTTGGTTTGTTTTTGGTTTATACTTTTTGTTAATGCTTTGTTTTTGTTTGTACTCTATGCTTTTGTTTTGTTTATACTTTTTGTTAATGCTTTGTTTTTGTTTGTACTTTGTGCTTTTGGTTTATTTTTTGTTTTTTGTTTTTTGTTTTTTTTTTTGATTTTTGTTTATGTTTGTACTTTATACTTTTGTTTTTGCTTTTTGTTTATGCTTTGTTTTTGTTTTTACCTTAGGTTTTTGTTTTGTTTTTGTTATACTTTTGTTTTTTTTGTTTATACTTTTTGTTTTGCTTTTTGTTTTGTTTTTTGTTTATACTTTTTGTTTATGCTTTGTATACTTTTACTTTTGTTTTGTTTTTGTTTATTGCTTTGTTTTTCTTTATACTTTATACTTTTGTTTTGTTTTGTTATGCTTTGTTTTTGTTTATACTTTTGTTTGTTTATGCTTTGTTTTTGTGTATACTTTTGTATTTGTTTTTATACTTTGTTTTTGCTTATACTTTATTCTTTTGTTTATACTTTCTCCTCTGTTTTATGCAATAAAATAGATTTATTCGGTTAATAAAAATCGCTCACGACCACAACCAAGACAATCCAACCAGACCAAGAAGCTGCTTACCCTCTTGCAGGAGGGGCGGGCGACGCGGCCTGGTCTTCGGCAGCCAGGAGGGCGAACACGCGCTCTACTCACGTGACCTCAGCGTCGGACCCGACTCGGTGCTGCAGTACGATGTGAGGTCAAAATCTGTTTTTTTTTGGGGGGTTGGGGTTGGATGGGGGTGGGGGGGGGGGGGAGGTTGTTCGTTGGAATCGGTTGGAGTTTGGTGTGGTGTAAGGTTGTGAATGGTGATTTTTCTTTCTTTTGTTTTCTTTCGTTCTTTTCTCTCTCTCTCTCTCTCTCTCTCTCTCTCTCTCCTCTCTCTCTCTCTCTCTCTCTCTCTCTCTCTCTCTCTCTCTCTCTCTCCTTCCTCTCTTCCTCCTCTCTCTCTCCCTCCCTCCCTCCCTCCCTCCCTCCCCCTCTCTCTCTCCTTATCTTTCATCCGTCCTTATTCCCTCTCCTCTTTCTCTCTATCCATCAACCTTTCTATCTATCTATCCCTCTCTCCACCCATATGTAACCCCCCCCCTCCTCTGCTTCTCCAAGATCATGGTGGGCTGCGGTGACGTCACGGCCCGCGACCACAGCGTCAGCGTCCAATACACGCTGGACGCCGGACTGAGCTGGACGACGGTGCGTCCGGCGAGCGGCGTCCACCACTCGAGTCCGGACTGCCTGCACGAGCTGAGGACGCCGACGGTGCACTACCCGCACGCCGCTCCGCCGGGGACGTGGACGAGGGTCGTTGTGCCCCTGTCGGATTTGAGGCTTTGTGGGTAGGTGTGTGGGGGTGGGGTGTTGTGGGTAGGTGTGTGGGGGGTGGTGGGTTTGTGGGTAGGTTGTAGGGGGGTGGGTTTGTGGGTGGGGTGAAGGGAGTGGGAGGGAGGGAGGGAGGGGAGGATGGGGGAGTTTGAGGGAGGGATGGAGGGGTGGAGAAGGGAAAGGGAGGGAGGGGGAAGGGAGGAAGGGAATGACGGGTAAGGGATGGGGATGGGGAAAAGGAGGAAAAGAGGAAGGGGAAGGGAGGGAGAGGTTGAAGGAGAGTATGTGAATAGGAAGAGCAGGAGCTGGGAAGGTTTAAGGGTTATTTCTGGGTATAGAAAGGGGAAGGGGCAGGAAGAGACAATGGGAAAGATGAGAGATAGAATTAGGTTATTCCCTTGTTAGATAGTTTCTAAGGATTTCAAAAATTACAATGAAAAAGAGGATGAAATGCTTGTTTGAATTACTTAGCGATGAAATTACGAATTAGGAGATTTAGATCGGATAAGAAGAAGTACCATTTCGCTTGATTTCGGAATGGTATTTTACCGAATAGCATTGTTAGTGAGACAATTACAAATATATCTTTATCGGAATAGACATTTAAGAAGATAGCTTTCATGGCTAATGAGCTTATAAACCTCACTTTTATTATTCCTCACCCTTATTCGTCGTATGTCACCCTTCTTACCCACACTCTCACACCCTAAGTGGTATTCTGGTACACTTCGTCACTCTTTATTTTACCGAAGCTCTCCACACTGATGATAATTCCATCACTCTTAATTCCCTACATGTCCCACACTCGCTCATACACTTTCTTACCCTCTCTCCCCCTATTTTTACCCCCCATTTCCCCCCTTTTCACCCCATATTTATCCTCTATTACAGTAATTTCTTCGAATTTTTATCCATTTTCTCCCCTCACCCGACAGCACCGTCCGCCCGTCCGTTCCGTTGGTACCAGGGCAGCTACGGCGCGCGCGAGGCCGCCGTCCCGTGGGCCGTCGACAACGTGTTCGTGGGTCCGGCCTGCCTCGACCACTGCGGGGGCCACGGCGCCTGCCTCGACGGGGAGAAGTGCGAGTGCGACGAGGGCTACGAGGGCAGCTGCACGTGCCATCTGCAGCTGGATCATCCGCAGACGCTGATGCACGATTTTGAAGGTGGGTTGGGGGACGGGAGGGGGAGGGAGGGAAGGGGAGGAGGTAAGGAGATGGCGGAGGGAAGAAGAGACGGAGAGACGGAGAGACGGAGAGACGGAGAGACGGAGAGACGGAGAGACGGAGAGACGGAGAGACGGAGAGAGGGGAGACGGGGAGACGGGGAGACGGGGAAGACGGAGAGACGGAGAGACGGAGAGACGGGAGAGACGGAGAGACGGGGAGACGGGGAGAGGGGAGACGGGGAGACGGGAGACGGGAGAGGGGAGAGAGAGAGAGAGAGAGAGAGAGAGAGAGAGAGAGAGAGAGAGAGAGAGAGAGAGAGAGAAGAGAGAGAGAGAGAAGAGAGAAGAAGAGAGAAAGAAAGAAAGAAAAGAAAGAAAAGAAAGAAAGAAAAAAAGAAAAAGAAAAGAGAGAAATAAAGAGAGAAATATATAAATGGATAGACAGAGAAAGCGAGAGCGCATGTTTACAACACTAACCAACGGATTCGTTTTCAGGCTCTGACCTCTCGGAGCAGTTCTCTCGTTGGGCGGGCAGTGAAGTGTCTCGTTTCTGCGGCGTGGTGACGGGCGAGTCGCTGGTGTTCTCGGAGCAGGGCGAGAGGACGCTCGTCACCAGGGACCTCGACCTCGAGCATGGAGGGTGAGGCGAGGGGCGAGCTGCGCTGTTTTTTTTTTTTTTTTTTTTTGGTTCATTTCTGTGAGCTTTTTTTCTTTGATTTTATTTTTATTTTTTGGTTCATTTCTGTGAGCTTTTTTTTCTTTGATTTTATTTTTATTTTTTGTTCATATCTGTGAGCTTTTTTCTTTTACTTTCTTTTTTTATTTTTCTTATGTTTTTCTGTTTGTCCCTTGTCTATCTCTCTTATCTTTTTTCATTGTTTTCTATTTATTCTTCTCCTTTTTCGTTTCTTTTTCTTTTTTTCGATTTCTTATTTCCTCCTCCTTTTTCTTCCCCAGTTTCCTCTCTTTTTCTATCTTTTATTGTTTATTTTCTTTTATTTGTTCTCTCTTCTTCATTTTCCTTTCTTTATTCTTCTTCATTTCTTCCATTCTTTTCTTATTTTTGTGTTGTTTCCTCTTTCTCCGCTGTTTCTTCTTCTTGTAGTTTCCATTTCTCTTTTATTTCTTCTTCATTCTCTCCGTCTAGCTCCTTTTATGCACGAAAATGACACAAGAGAAATCGCAAAAAAGATATATGTATATTTATCTATTTATCTACCTTTTATCTACTTATCTATTTATCTATTTATCAGTCAGTCAAAATATTATTCTGCATATCTATCGATTTATATTTTCTATCAATCTTCTTTTTTTACCCTTCAATCAATTTATCTATTATTTTTTTTACTTATCAGTCTATTTATCTGTCAATCAATTTGTCAGTTAATCATTCAAATTATTTATCAATCATTAAATCAATCTCAATTTATTAATCTATCAATATATTTATCTGCGTATATATCTATCCGCCCACCAATCCATAACTCCGCCCCCTTTCCCTCCCTCTCCCGCCCACCCCGCCACAGCGTCGTGCAGTTCTACATCCGATACGGCTGCACGCCCGACGACCTTGGCACGAGCGACGCCCCCGTGCTCCTCCAGTTCTCTACTGACGGAGGGATCACGTGGACGCTGCTGGCTGAGCTGGGGCCGGAAGCGAGGGCGGAGTCGAGGGCGGAGTCGGAGGGACGGCAGCCAATCACGCAGCACGTCACGCTCAATCTACCGGGTGAGGGCGGGGCTTAATCTTTTGTTTTTTTTTAAAGGTCTTTGGTTGGTCGTTGGTGCCTGTTGTGGTAATTATTGTTAATGTTAATGTTATTGTTATTATTGTTGTTATTGTTATTAAACATTATTATTGTTGTGGATTTGTCATTACTGTTATTATTATTATTATTATTATCAATATTATTATCATCATCATTATTATCATCATTATCATCACTCTTATTATTATTAATATCATTATCATTATCATTTTAAATATTATTTTATTATTGTTATTGTATTTATATCTATTTATTATTTGTGTGTATCTTCTGTCTTTTTCTCCTTATCTTCCTCTTATCTTTTCCTCTTTGTCTCATTGTCCATCCTACTCTCCTCTTCTCCTTCTATTCCTCCTTTCTTTCCACTTCCCTTCTCTCCTCTCTTTCATTTCACCTTACCCCCTCTTCCTTTCCACCCCCCCCTCATTAATTTTCACTTTGCCCCTCCCTCCTTCCAACACTCATCTCCCTCACCAACAACCCCATCCATTAACCTCCCCCCCCTCCTTCCCTCCCCCCAGAGACCGCCAAATCGAACGCGACCCGCCTCCGCTGGTGGCAGCCCTCGACTGACGGGGAGTTCAGCAGCATGTGGTCCATCGATGAGGTGAGAAGGGATCCCGTGTGTAAATTTTTCTTGTGGATTGATTTTGTATTTCTTAATGTTTTTTTATGTATTTTTTTTTTGCTTGTGATTTTTGTGACGTTTTTTTCTTTGTTTTTTTTATTTTCTTTATGTTCGTAATTTTCACTTTTTTTGTTGATCTTTTCTTTCAAAATATGATCTGATTTTTTTTCTTGTTTCTTGTGTTAACAAATAAGTGGTTTTCAGAATTTTCTTTATTTTATTTGTTTATTTATTAGTAGATTTTTTATTACCTATAATGGTCGCAGATTTCTTAATTTTCTTATATTTCCATTTTTCTTCTGAATTTTCACAATCTACGTATTATTCTTCTTCCTCCTCCTCCCGGTTTTGCATATCCACATCCTGGCGCGCAAGCTTCTTTTTTCTTAATTTTCTTATTTCCTTAAATTTATCTTATTTATTATCCTTATAATTCCCCAAAAAATCATTTTTTTCTCTTAATTTCGTAATTCTCATAATTTCCTTAATTTTCTATTATTACTTAGTTTTTCTTAGTTTCCTCAATTTTCCCAATCTCCTTAATTTCCTCAATTTTCTCAATTTAACCAATCTACTTAATTTTCATCAATCTTCTAAATATTCTCAATCGTCAATCTTCTCAATCTTCTCATTTTTTTCAGTCTGCTTAATTTCCTCAATGTCCTCAACCTTCTCAATTTTCTCAGTCTGATTAATTTCCTCAATCTTCTCAATTTTCTCATTCTTCTAAATTTTCTCTGCTTAATTTCCTCAATGTCCTCAACCTTCTCAATTTTCTCATTCTTCTAAATTTTCTCAGTCTGCTTAATTTCCTCAATGTCCTCAACCTTCTCCATTTTCTCATTCTTCTAATTTTCTCAGTCTGCTTAATTTCTTCAGTGTCCTCAACCTTCTCAGTGTCCTCATCCTTCAAAATTTTCTCAGTCTGCTTAATTTCCTCAATGTCCTCAACCTTCTCATTTTTCTCAGTCTGATTAATTTCCTCAATCTTCTCATTCTTCTAAATTTTCTCAGTCTGCTTAATTTCCTCAATGTCCTCAACCTTCTCAATTTTCTGTCTGCTTAATTTCCTCAATCTTCTCAATTTTCTCATTCTTCTCAATTTTCTCAGTCTGCTCAATTTCCTCCATGTCCTCAACCTTCTCCATTTCCTCCCAGGTGTACATATCGAGCCTGGCGCGCGAGCTTCCCGCCTTCACCGCCCTGGACTCGGGCGCCCATTGGCTGCTCACGCCCGGCGCCGTGCAAGAGGCCGTCTGTGGACAAGAACACAACAGCCTGCATTTCAGTGGTGCGGATTGTGATGTTGTGGTTGTGTGGGTGTGTCGGCGTGTGTATGGGTGTGTGTTTGTGGTTCTATGGGTGTGTTGTGATTGTGTGATTAACGTTGTATGGGCGTTTGGTTGTAGTTTTATGGGTGTATGTGGTTGTATTTGTGTAGGTGTGTAGTTGTGATATTGTGGTTAAGGTTGTATGAATGTGTGGTTGTATGGGTGGGTGGTTGTAATTGTGTTGTGGTTGTGCTTGCATGAGTGTGGTTGTGATTGTGTGGTTAAGGTT